TCCACCAGTTCTGTCAGCAGGAGTGGGCAAAAATACCAAAAACTCAATGTAAAAAGCTTGCTGAAGGCATCCTGAAACATTTGACACAAGTTAAATGATTTAAAGGCAATGCTACCAAATACTGGCTGAGTGTATGTAAACTTCTGACCCATTGGAAATGTCATGAAAGAAATAAAAGCTGAAATAAATCTTTTTCTCTACTATTATTGTAACATTTCACATTATAAAAAAAAGTAGTGACTAACTGACCTAAGACAGGGAATGTTTATAGGATCATATTTCAGGAGTTGTGATAAACTGAGGTTAAATGTATTTGACTAAAGTGCATGTAAAGTTCTGACTTCAACTATAAGCTCTTCACCAGTGTACTGTACATCAACACCAGTATTCAGAAGGTACTTAGACCTTTGCTTGTGTATTACATTTGGCTAAGATGTAGTTGTCATTTCTCTCACACAGAGCATAGGTTATATTACTGTAAACTTCAGATCACATCTAAAGCGCTTTGATGAATAAAGAAAGAATTATGGCTGATTAAAAAAACTCAAAGTCCAAGGATCAGACACACAGAGAGATAGTGAGGGAAAATGAAGAACATAATGAACAAAATAAAAAAAATGAGTTACTAACTAAGTATTTGCTTTATTACACTTATTTATGCATGTGTGTGGTGCTGAAACTTACCTGACCAAGTAGTCATTGCGTATAAGCATCAGGTGCTGCAGTATAGAGAGGAAATAGGGTTCTGCACTGCTGTCCTTCACCATGCTCTGCACAATACTGAATACATCCCCCGCATCAGTGCAGAGAGTCAAGGTCTCATATGTCAAAAGAAAGAGCTTTTTCACATAAAAAAGTAGAAGCTACTGAAATAAAAAGGAATAAAAGGTTTATGTATTTTTATGTTCATTTTTTTGTTATCTAGCATATTGCCAGGCAGCTCTCATTAGCTAGAAGCAATTAAATTTCCTGATTTATATTAGCCACTTTTACAGTACATTCAGAAACAAACAATGAATCAGACCTCAATGTCTCATGTTTCTGTTTACATTAATGACAAGGATATTCCAGCTCACTCTTGATGTCTTCCAGTCTATGAGAAAACTCTATCATGTCCTCTTCTTTGTGCTCCTCAAATACTTTTAGCTGAATGTCGAGGGCCTCATTCCTGATGGTTGTCAGTTGCTACAGATGGATTAAAGTAAAGTAAGCAAAGGAACAAAAGGTAAGACAGATGCGAAAAGACAAAGCAAAATAAATAAGAGAGAATGGCTTACTCTGAGATAAGGGAAGCATCAAGCTTACGTGAAAAAAAGCAGCTCATTCTAAATGCCATTACCTATCATGATGTTATACCAATGTGGAGACCAGATTCTCATTTGAATTTATTTGTTTTCTTGGCAGATATAGAAACACTGTTTACAACAGATAAACATGTTAGGTGGATGCTATAAAAGCCAGTAGGAAGATTATTAGCCCAGGCACTAGAAACTTCATCGGTTTCAGGTGCAGGCACAAACAGAGGACGTGTAAACTCTCCTCTGTTTCATAAATTATTTGCTGGAGCAAATCCACTATATTTTATCGAAGTGGACATCTCATTTAAATATTAATACAAGTTAAGTGTGAGTTTATATCATGTGTCTCTATTTGTGTGTGTGGTTTTGTTTTGCTTACCGGCAATATCTCTTTCAGGCCACAGCGCATAAATTCATTTCTTATGTGCAGCCTGACGTCCAGCTCATCAGGAGAAGTTACTAGTGCATTGATGAGCTGCATGCATGCCACCTGCAACATGAAAGGTACACAGAACAAAAGGAGAGACAGAGAAAGAAAGAAGAGTGAGAGAAAGGACCAGAAAAAGAGATGGCAGACTTCTTCTTCCAGAAGTTGATGAAAAGCAGGTGGGCACGCTTTTCAAACAAGCTATGTCCCTTGGAAGCAGAGGGCCATAACTAATGCATGTCTATTTTCTCCAGTCACCAACTACAGGGGATGATTTTAATATTAATGTAACAACTGCAGACCCATACACACAAAACTAACAGTCCATTTAAGGGCAAACTCGCCCTTTTGGAAGCAGTTTTTCACTCCCCTCTGAGTTTGGTTTACTGCACAGGGACCGTTGCATCCTGTGACAGACAGAAAAATCTATTATTGATCAGTAAAGCAATCCACTCGCGTGTGAAAGAGGGTATGGCCATTCTAGAGCACTAGAAGGATTCAGATGTTTAAAAGGTTCACTGTCAGTTTGATAGCACACTCTTATTTTTGTCATGGCACTCAAGCTTAGAAGACTAATTACCTATATTGAAAGTATCGGTTTAATATTGTAATGCAGGTAGGTAACATAATAACATGTCACAAAATTTTTCTCTTGACCTGTGGCTGGGGCTCAATAGCAGCCAAGAAACCAAAAGTGTTTTTATATTAAAAGATCATGATTATTTGAATGATCTGTTACATGCCACATATCCTTTGCTTTTCATTTCAAGCAAAATCAACATGCAAAAGTCTGTTTACACTTAACTTTCTAAATCCCTGCTTTGTCTAAGCCAAAGGATGCCAGATGAGACTGTATAAATGTCGTCAAGTAAAACAGAAATCTTCTGATCACACATTGTCATGCTTAGGATAATAGTATCTGTGCTTTAATAATGCAGGTGGGCCATGTATGAGGAAGCAGGAAATAAAGCATCAATAAAACCACAGCTCATAAAACTTCTAGAACACAAGGTTATATCTGCACAACTACAGGCGAGTTCTGTATATAAATGCTTCAGTATGTAGGAATTCTAGCTTTGAGTGTCCCCTGAAATCCTGGCTATCATTCTGTATTTTCGTTTTGTCCATTTCTGTCAAACTCTTTCCGTCCCTAACTATTTTCCCCAACTATCGCATCCTTTCTATGACTATGATCCCTAAAGTTTTCAAAGGTAGTTACGGCAAACTGCAATTTTTACTGATAATACTGCAGGTAAAAAAAATAACTGTATTGGTCATTGCAGGTTCTAATCAATGTTCCTGTATCTTTAATATTAGCAGCAGCATCAGTAAATGTATTCACATATGACATTACACAGAGCATCCCCAAATCATTTAAGATCTTTACTGACCTTCTTTCTACACAACAATCCCGTTCAGTACCCCAAATAGTAAAATCAGATTAACAAATTCTAGACTGCCTTGTTACTTCAGTTACCTGTTTGATCAGCAAAATGCACTTTACAATTTACCAAAATGAATACACCAGATTAAACCAGAACATTTCATAAACACTGGGCACTACTAATAATAAAATACAACAATTTGGAAAACATAATGAACACAGGCAAGCAGGTACTTCAATGTTTCCAACCTAATAGGTTTGTGATTCTCAAAACTTAACACCCAGTTTTGATTGAAAACAAGAATGTAACAAAAAATCTTGACAAAAAAATAAAATAAAAAAAAACACCAAAAACTGTATAAGTGAGTGACAGGCCCCTGAGTGGTTGTGATATGTTGAAATGGTCAACCTTATTAAATGTCATTTCAGAAAAATCAGAGGGAAACAAGGTGTCAGTGGTTGTACGTGTACTTTGCACTTACTTGTAATTGAACCGAGCGATCTCGTACCGCTCAGTGGCTCGCCATTCCCCTGCTGTGGTGATGGCTTCAAGGACCTTCTCCAAACTAAATGAGAACATGAAATGCATGAGCGAACAACTAGGAAAAAAAAAAAATGATGAAATACATTCATTTAAAGGGATTTTGCCTATAAGCTGTCTCCTATTCTGTTGCATCCGTGATTTCTTGTCAGGTGGAAAGGCTCTTCCAGGTGATTTCATCACCTTCACTGTAAAACACGACTCAAGAGTTGAGGTGGATTGTGATTCAAATTTAAAACTGAACTTTATTAGTTCAGTGTGTAATGATTTCAATAATGAATTCATCTCAATACCAACATAAATACTATTTTGATATTTCAAATAAAGTTTATTCCACCAGAAATACTGTTTCAATGAAATAATTCCTCATTAAAAGAGGAACCTCTGCTGCATCCTTACATAATAGAAATGGTCTTAAAAATGTATACAGTGTCACTTTCCATATATTTACATTTAATTTGATACTGCAGTCAAATCACTTGATCAATATCCTTGTATTTTTTTAAGCAAAACAAGTCAAGTAATCTAAACTCTTACAATATATCCTTCAATATATTGGGACCAATATTGTTATACATTCTTTTACAAGTGACACTGGCCTGTAATCAATTATCACACTCTAAAAAATTATTGCAATTCAGTCTTTTAGAAATTTTGGGCTCTTTAACCATACTTTACCATGTATAGTACCACTGTAAGGACTGCAGAGCACTTTGCTTGTAGCAGTAACTAAATAAAAAAATGGTAGTAAACTACGGCATAATTATAAGCACCATTTAAACTAAGGGGCAACTTTGCTTTTGTAAAATCAAAAATGATTTTTTTAAGCATTTTCTTTCAATATTAGAAAAGCTGCACATAATGACAGAAAGAATGAAACAAGAACATACATGTTCTCTTCGCCCACAATACAGATGGCTGACAGCAGCTTTACCACGTCGGTCATCATGGCAGACTGAGTGGGATCAATGGCTCTTGCCAGTAAAGTGAGGCTTTTCTCCTCCCCCAGGATTCGCTCCAAGCCATACTGCCAGAAATGCAAAATGAATGATTACCCAGATATGCTGTAATTCTGCCTAGAGGAATGCAATGGCCTGTGAAACAGTCAAATCAAATCTTATTGCCTTAAAAATGCAAGTTTAATTCAAGCTCAATGTACATTCTTTACCGCACACCAACTTTAAGTCCAAACTGAAACTCAAGGTTAGACTTAGTGATTTTAGTTCCATCTATAATGCATTGTGCAGTGCTGCATGTGCCATTCAGAAGTCAACTTGGTATGGTTTACTGTTCAAATGAACTTGGCCAATAAAAATCCTTTTCAATGATAAGATTATTATTAAATTGATTTGGATAATTCTACTAGGTTCTGCTGCCCCATGCTGTATTCTAAAGCCAGCAGTCTTGCAATACTGCAGTAGTACAAATAACAACAATGTATCTGTAACTGTCAATACAATGCTAGCATTTGGTAACAGTTTTGAACAATGAGAAACAGTGTCAGAAAAATTTTGAAATGTAATTAGTGTTAATTTATTGAGAGAAAATCTATTCAGCAATAGCTGACTGTGTTAGGAAAAAAATATGAGGTACAAATAATAAGTTAAAATGAATTCACTTTTGTATGGCAATGAAAGGAGCTTTTATTTTACCGACAGTGTCAAAAAGTGATGTTTCGTTCTTACTTTTGTTGTGGGATTTGAAAAACAATTTAAAAGTGCTTCTGTCAAACTTGTAATAGCATCAAGCATTGCTAGTCACTTAAATAGCATTTTCTGTTTGCCTGTTCAGTGCAGGTTGCATAAACTTCAGGAGGCAATCAAACACACAAAGAGGTTTTCTTTATATAGTTAAGTTGTTCAAAGGGCAGTTTCCCAGTCTGGCAGCTTTTAGTATTACATTATTATGCTATTGGTGACAGACAATAGCATATATGCAAGTGTGCGAGGCAGGAAGACACAGGAAGAAAAGGCTGCACTGACAGCTGGCAGAGAACACCTGTCTTCTTGGCACTATGGGTACGTCCCATCCCAAGATGCCTCTCTAGCCAGGAAAAGGTCTGGGCTGACAGAGGCCTACGGGTAAATGCTGGCGTCTGGCGCCTGTTGAGGCACAGGATTACATGAGACCTCACAGCACATTTTTTGCCAGAGCTGTTGTATATCTGTCTCCACTGGGTTTTAGCTTAGTGACGAGATTTTTTTTCCCCCCTCCACAGCTACTGTGGACTGAAAAGTTGAAGCACTGTGAAATCAAGCAAAAGCTAAACAACACTTCCTTTTAGTTTGCAAATAATAGTCTACTGGCTGTGAACTGAATCATTTTATCAGAATGTAACTCTTTTATTTTATAGTTTTACTAAATTATGTTTGCTTAAGTTAAACAAATTGTACAATATGTAATTAAATAGTTTAAAAAAGTGTTTGCAAA